CACATGCTTTAATACCGGTATGTACAAATGCTAGCTACCCAATTCCCTCCAGCATCCTATTCTGAAGATCAATTTCAAATTTCTTCGTAAGAAAGTAGTTTAAAGGTAGTACCGGTAGATATAGATAATTATTTGTCATGTGCAACAGGCTCCTTCAGGTCATTCTAGCCCCCAAGGTATTTAATTTGAAAGCTTAGCCATATAAGAGGTAGCCAAGCTGACTCCTTGCAAATAATTGTTGGTCGCCAAACAACTATTTGAGTACAGTACTGGGTCCGGTTACAAAAAAACAGAACACTAACAAAATGAATGGCAAAATTGTCTGTATACTGCAGTGCTCACAAAAATCCCTGTCATTCTTGCACAATGTTAGACTATGATTGTACACTGTACGTTAACGGAATGTATCATTATTACAGTGTGAAAACGTGAAAAAAACCTCATCTTTTTTGAATCACATAGATAGCAGCTTAAGATATTGAAATTATGAGCAAGAACACAGAAATTGATAAGAAACTGACACAGAACCTACTAATCTTCTGATTGCATGCATTTTTTTGATGGGCTACCATGTTTGCATGATTGGCTGTTAACATTGAATACACAAGAATTCTACTAGTTACAGTACACATTTTAAGGAACAATGTGATTGCATTTAAATTTGACATAAAAACTTATTATTTATAGACTGAAAAATTTCACTTTTTGGCTCCTGTTTATATTTTTTATCTTGCCATCATGTATATTTGTTTCCAGGTGAGCCACAGCTTTAATGCAATGTAGAGGGCAGCAGCACCAGTGGATGTTTTTAAAAATACATATTGTACATATGCAAAGTGAACAAAATTATACATGAATTAGTGAACTTGGATTTGTTAAAAATGGGCCTAAATTTTTAAATGCTGTGACACTAACATCCATCATGTAAAATCAATGAAAGTATATCTGATTGGTGGTGGGGAATTGTAAAGCCAGTTAAAGCCAGAGTGTAAAAAAAAAGCCCATTGTAAAGTTTTATATTTGTTCAAAATTTATTTATATTATTACTCTATTCTGAACAAAACGTCATTCTTAGAATATAGGTAAATCGTAATTATGATATTCTTCCAGCTATGTATTTACTTAAAATGTTTCTCAGCTCAGGAACTTATCAACAACTATGGTGGAGATGTCAGAAACACACAACAAAACAAAAAAAATTAGAACAATTTAATGTTATGTGCATTGCATCATGGGAAAAATGTGTCAAGTTTGCAAGTTCATTGATATCAGACACATAGAAACATACGCTGCATTCAAGAAACAAAGATTATGGAATTCCAGCTTCTGACGATTTTCACATAGTGAGTTCAGAATTTTCCGATTCCCATGACAAAGAACACTTTTCTGACAGCGGTGGCATAGCAAGCAAGATTATTCACCACTAGTCTCACAATTTTCTTTTTTGTATCGAGATTATTCAACACCTCAAGATCAAGATATATGATTCAACATTTACTGTTTGAACAATATTTTTTAAATGCACCTAATAATGGTTGATTTAGATCTTTCTGCAATTATAAGTGACACACTTCACCAGTATGCAAAATCTAAGAAGGAGTTACCAACTTACCTAATAAAAATTTTAACATTTCAATGTTAGCATACGAAGCAGCCCAGTGTAAAGGGGTATTTAAACTCTTAGCACCATCTCGAACATTTGCACTAACACCAGCAGCAAGAAGTTGTTGGACTGCAGTAATACTGTAACAGACAATATGGAAAGCCATTATTGAACTGAAAAAAAAAATTCCTTTTTTTTGTGTCACAAAGATCCAAATGACCATGCATTGGAAACAATGAGAAACAGTTATTGTTGGGAGATTTAAACATTTATTGCTAAACCATTTATTTTCACTAACATTTAATTTTACTATTTTGATGTTTTGAGCATTTTCACTGGGTTTTAAGTCACAAACTTGGCAGAGAAACAATGAGCTCTATTACTATTCAACAAATTCACATAGATTTAATTAGCAAATTTCATTTTAATAATTAATTATTCAGTGAATAATTAATGCATTCACAGTAAATGCCATCAAAGCCAGGACATATTAGATAATCCACATAATATTAATAAGACAATGGAAAGAAAATGGGTAACATCAAATATGTAAAATAACTTATTATTATGCAAAAAAATAATAAAAACTTGAAAAGCTTGAAACAAGTTTGTTTCATTTCCGTCATACATTTATTTTTCTTGCAGCCCCAATTAATATAAATAGAAATAATGAAATCTATTTATCTAATTTACATTAATAGGCATAATAATTAATGTTCTTAAGGAATGTATGCAACATAAATTTAGCTAATAAAACACAATCCTATTAAAATATTCAATTAACTACTGGGATTAACTTTTTGAGTTTGAATACAGCATTTACTCCAGTAGAAGTGAACATAAACCAAAAATAGCATTTTTTTATATATTCAATAAAAGTAATTTTTGGCTTATGTAGGACTTTACTGTCAACACCCTCTTAATAAAATAAATATTAAATATACCTCTTATTTACAGTAGCATATGAGCTAATAATGGAGCATTTACGGCATTGGTATCTCTGTTTTCAGTTATGCTAATTACTAAAACAATCAGACGATTACTTTGTGTTATTTATTCAACCATTAACTACCCAGAGGGACTGTTGCAAGCTTCACAGGGATCATCATGACGACAACTATTTAAACCCTGGATTTAAATTGCAAGAGGTAATTAAAACAAAGCACAAATTATTTGGATTTGCAATCAGGCAGCTGTAACAGCAATACAGGTTGTAGATGACCTATCCTCACAGCTGTACATTATGGCATAAACATGAATATATGCAATTGGTCAGATACTAGTCTATCCCAGTCTGTACTCTGCTCAGCCCACAATTATATTTACTGTGTTGCCCTGCTGCTTACTACTGTAAAACACAGTTACTAGAAACCGCGTGTACAATGACTAATTTTCACTGGGTTTAAATTTCACTGATCTACCATTCCAGGCATATTCAGTGGGTTTTAAATTCAGTTTTATCATTTAGATAATGTGTTCTATGCTGAATTTTACATATTCACTGGGTTTTAATTAAGCGCATTTTCCAGTCAGCGAAATAAGCAAAATTAAAACCCAGTGAATAATTAACCCTTTTACAGTATTCTGTAATTTTTACTACTGGTATAACACAACATTGTTCATATTTGGACATTGACATACTTCATTGACATACCTATTAGACAAAAATAAATTATTTTATTTCATTCAACATGCATAACATTGGTGTAGGTTCATGACATAAAAATAATAGTATAAACAAACAAAACAAGCCATTGAAAAATGTCACAGTCCCCTCTGTTCTTGTACATTAATACATGACAAATAAAAAATGTTGATCAAGTGCATGTCTGGTACACTGAAATAATTACTTTGTCTGCCAGACAACATGTGTTAGTTTCTAATGTCTACGGTATGTTGGCAAAATGTAAAACATATATTGGAATTTCAGATTATAGTGCATTTTGGGATAGTTATGCCACATTGTGGGAGCTGACATGCTTTTTAATTTCTGGAGATGTGTTTATTTGGTCATAACTATCTCACAATACTCTTTGATTTGGAATTGTCATATGGTCTATGGCAGCTAGTCAACATCTTGGATTGTATTGCGACACAAATCAATTGTTCTTGAATGCTAGAACACAATTGTCTGTAAACCAAAATTCAATCTAATTAGACAGCTTAATATAAGCAGAAATATGCACACACAAAAAATGTCAACCATCGACCATCTTGGATTGAATTGTAACACAAATAAACTTTCGCTGATGTGCTAGAACAAAATTTTCTATGAACTATGTTTGGACCTAATTTGACTGCATGAAATACATTGAAATACAAGTAGGATTGTGCAAAAGACTAAAATTGATGATTTTCGTCAAACAAAATGGCTGTTGGTCAGCCATATTGCATAAAATCGCAATAAAATCAACTTTCATCTTTGTGAAATAATACACTGGCTCTGTACTAAATCTTAAAAAATTTAGTAATTGTATTCTCAAGTTACAGTAAAAATGAACAAAAGTATTTTGGGCAAACAAAATAAATGCCAGTCAGCCAATTTCAATTTTTTTTAAAAATAATGTATGTGCCTCAGTATGCCAACAGGTGTTGCTCTTATTCCAAGTTTGAACAAAATCTTCCAGCATAACTTGGAGATTATACAATGTCATATAAAATTAGGTTATTTTTTTCGTCAAATATCAGTTGGACATTTTGTATCTGAACAGAAAAAACCCATCAATCATTTACTAAGTTTGGAGAAAAACTATCGAACTACTGGGATAATGCAACAGACAGATGAACAGAACCTTGTCTATAAGCCCCCTGACCATAGTCATAGTCAGGGCTAAAAATACATTTTACATTTTGTTTTTGATCAACATACACCAATAAGCACATGTACATTACAGGGCTGTGTAATATTCCTTTTGCACCATTCAAGGATAACCAAAATATGTAGTATCATCCCAAATTATACCGTACACCTAATGCATATTACTGGTATATCATGACAATGTTATGGGTTGTTCATTATGTGAAATGGACACATGATGCATCTGGAAATCAAAATTTGTAACAAAGTTACTTACATAACCAACATTTAATCAATCAATCAATCAAGCTAGTTTAATTTATTTATTGGCATGTTGTGATGTTGATGTTTACTTAATCAATAATAATCTCAAAAATAAATTGAAATGAAATTGAAATACTGCTTTAAATAACAGTGGTTCATAGGCGTAGGTTTTTTTTTGTAAATGATAAACCAACATCTTATATGAATTCCAGAGAAATCAAAATTGGGAAATCTGATTGTTTACTCAATTAACCCTTTGAACAGATTTTCTTCCCACCAAAACATTAATGCAACATTTTGCACACTTTTATATATTTTTAAAATCATATCTTTATTACTATCAGATCAAAAGAACATAATTTTTCCCATTGACCACAGGTCTTTAACAACATTTTAGAACACACATTATATGGATGACAAAAGTTGACTATTCAACCTACACAGACAGACACAGTGAATCCCAATGAGTGGTTTTCCACTGAATGAAAGCCAACTACAAATTCTCTAATGCCCGCTGTTGTATTTCTCATCAGTATGTCATTTTAAAAGGAACACATCACAACTTTTCTTTATCCCAATATATTGTTACTACCTTACTTTGACTACTGTAAAATGCTTTATTTTAACTTTGATTTTGTTTTTGCTATTTCCACTGAAGGATTGATTCAGTCAAAATAAAAACCCAATAAGTCTCTTCAGCGAAAATAATGTATTTTACAGTATCTTAAGGAATACTAACTAACAGTAAAGCAAGTATTATACATTGAATTGCTTTGATAGGGCATTTACTTACCCGTAAAGAACTGTAAAACCATTTATTTTCACTGACATTTAATTTCACTATTTTGATGTTTTGAGCATATTCACTGTGTTTTAATTTCACGAATTCGTCAAAGAAACGATGAGTTTTATTGTTATTTTACATGTTCACGTAGATTTAATTTAGCGGATTTTACTTATCAAAGAAAATAGCAAAATTAAAACCCTATAAATAATTAATACATATACAGTATATGGGCTAGTACAATCTAACAGAAAACAAGCAGCCTATCGGCTGAGATAGCTCCACTGTTAGCAATGCACATGGCAATTAAAGAACAGAAGATATCATTAGAAAATGAACAAATCTGAGAGAGGTCCACATGTAGTACCTATATGTATAATATATCAAAGCAATTGGACTTGTGGTTTTCAACAAGAAGTCGAAAATATCACTTTTTACCAAAAATTACAAAAATATTCATCAAAATTAGAGAATTAAAGATATCATTACAAAATATATAAATCTGAAAGAGGTCCACATGTAGTACCTATATATGTAATATCAAAACAATTGGAATTGCGGTTTTTAACAAGAAGTCGAAAATATCACTTTTTACCAAAAATGACAAAAATATTCACCAACATTAGAGAATTAAAGTTATCATTACAAAATAAACAAATCTGAGAGAGGTCCACATGTAATACCTATATATGTAATATCAAAGCAATTGGACTTGCGGCTTTTAACAAGAAGTTGAAAATATCACTTTTTACCAAAAATGACAAAAATATTCACCAAAATCAGAGAATTGAAGATATCATCATGAAATGAACAAATCTGAGAGAGGTCTACCCAAGGTACACATACACCAAGTATCAAAGCATTCAGGCTTGTAGTTTTCAAGAAGAAGTCGAAAAAGTAAAACATTGACACGGACAAAATCGACAGCGGAGCTAACAGCGGAGCTAAAAATAGAGCATGTACACATTTTGTGGTAAAGTTTAGACAACATTTATTTTGCATATAAGCCTATTTCATTTATCCAGTCAAGCCTTATTTTCGTTTAGCTTTCTCAATGAGTAGCTCAAGTTTCTCAGTAAAATTTGCCAATCTGAAAAAGATTTCTCTTATTTTAGGCACAATGTATTCAATACACCTGATTCAGGATATAATAATTAAGAGGAATCAAAATTTCTGAATGCAAAATTTCCTGAGGAAAAACTTTTCCATATGCGTATTAAGTAGAGACCCACCTTCCCTGGAAATATGACAATCTCCCCCAAAAAGGGACTTTCAGTGGGTTACAATCACTCAACAGGTTAAAATTTGGAGCATTTAGAAAGAATTGTATTCATACAGCATGGACATAACTCACTCTGATTTGGCGACAGCTTGTAACATCACTCCATGGTACACACTTTTCACTTGCATGCTATCTGCTAAATCATAACTGTGTTGCCATGCTCATCCTTAATACTGGCATCAGTACCTGCTGCTAGCAAAGCACGGGCTACGTCTGCATGGCCTTGCTAATAAAAATAAGAACACCACAAAACAAATTAAAAATAACATAGTATCCCAGCAATAAGACCTCTAATCGCTGCAACATGACAATTCAAAACAATATATTCCCTAACACATTAACAGGCTTGAATCATGCTAGCAGGTGTCATGCTGATAAAATAAGTACATTAGTTTTGCTCCAATTTAGAGTCTGGATTATGTAATTTCTAAATTAGTATTTCACTTTAAAAAAAAAATCCCTACCAGACTCTACAAATAACTTGATGTGGCTGCTTGGGCCACAGCTCTGTCGCGGCAGAGGGGTGTGCTGTGTAAAGCCAAAGTAAAACAACGCAGTGCTAACCAGGATGGGGCTTGTATTAAACATTTTGTAATTTTTGTATGGGGTTACTTTGATTATATTCAGTGTGGTGTTTACAAAAATTCAATGTTTTAAATACTGGGGCTCAATGCATCATGAACCTCTATGGATGCTTATCACCGGTAGTATAATAGTGTTGTTATACACCGGCCACAGCTGGTGTTCCACAATCATGCCTGGGCATGTGCATATGATAGACGGAATTCTCTTCTTGTTTTTTTTTTAGGGGTAATACCCAATATATTGCTTACAATTTCACCTGTGTTTACCTTTGATGACAAGTGGAGGGCTGTACCATAATCCGGATTTACGTGGTTCAACACTTCTAAAACTGTTATTCCTCCTATTTGGTTTTCGCCTGTATGAGAACGGAAAGAAATTAAAATTGTCACACAAAACCAGAAGTTTGAAAGTATTCTAAATTACGTAGTTAGCATTGTAAATTATAAAATACCATTACAGTTTCTCAATGAATCGATGTCAAAAATATATATTATTATTATTTTATATGGCAGACATTCATGTCTCGGCCGATAACGTTGCTAACGTGACGTGTACTGTGCTGGGCAATGTGACTGTCTAGTGGAAATATTTACTCACATTCGGCAGCGGTCGTGATAAGTGAACGTACGATGTCTGTTCTTCCATGGGTAACTGCGGCATGTAAACTTTCCACTGCCTCTTTTAACATCGACATGTTTCAGTCGCGTAAAAACACTATTGTATTCCTTTCCAGCCTACCACTACTTTCCTTTTTTATTTGCCGAGTTGACGAGTTGGCAGTGTTTTGTGTCAGGGGTTACGACGCATGTCTGTTTTACTAATTGGAGACAAATGACCTAACTTTTCGCGTATAAATATCGCTGCGCAGACAATATAATTCGACTAGTTTTAATTTTATTATCGCAATTAGTGATATAAAAAAGAAGGCTAATTATTTAAAAACCCTGTATTATCCTTCAGTTGGCTGTAAACACGTTAAATCTTAATCCTAATCTGTGAACTACTTTCAACTTAGGTAATGATTAAAGGGTCAAACATTTGTAATTGGGCAACGAGGAAGGTCATTTGTGGCTGTAAACGTGCGAATTTGAGGTAGCGATTTTGTCTTTTCATTTTCTTACTGAAGAATATTTACCATGAGTATTTTTGTGCGGATGACACAGACCCTTGGCAGACAACGTCTATTGTCTCACAGATTCTACTGCATTGCAGCAAGTGGATCAAAAGAACACATAGAAGGACTGGTCAAGAAGGACCCGATTGTTGTTTTCATGAAAGGGGTCCCCGAAAAACCTATGTGTGGTTTCAGCAACGCTGTTGTCCAAATTCTAAGAATGCACGGCGTTGATAAATATGCCAGTTACAATGTCCTGGAAGATGAAGATCTCAGGCAAGGTAAACATCCTTTACTTATGGACTTCTGAGGAATACCGGCGACACCAACTTTTTTTTATTGATAATTAATAAGTACCCACATTTTGCAAGTTATTATTACTAATAATTTGTGAATATTTTAAAAAGCAGAAAATAATAATCATTAATTACAGACCGAAACGATATATCCCTTGATTATTTTCATGCTGAAATTTTGGTGTAACATTTTTATTTCGAAATCTTTGTTCATTTTGGGGGAAATAAACATAATTTCTCATTGCCTACAGGTGACAAAAGTTGTCTTGGCATTTGGTGATGTGCTAATTTTGTCAAAACGTACAATTATACCTAAAACGGTGGTCATCACCAAAACTGGTCAAGGGTACCATGTTGTGGTGTATAAAACATGCATAAAATACATGTAAAGGAATTTAGAACTGTGCATGACAACCTCTGTCCTCAAATCAAAAAACAATAGAATTTAGAAAGTTGATTTTGTTGTTTATAAATTATGAGCTGTGATGAAATTGTTCACACTAATGCTGGGTTTGTATATCCATTGAACTTTGCATTTATCCAAAATATTAATCTATACTTTCTGATTTTTTCAGGAATAAAAGATTTTTCAAATTGGCCGACGATTCCTCAAGTTTACATGAATAGCGAATTTGTTGGAGGATGTGATATATTAATCCAAATGCATCAAGAAGGTGAACTTATTGAAGAACTTAAAAAACTAGGAATTAGATCGGTGTTACTGGACGCAGACAACAATAAAGAATAATCAGTTTTATAAGAAATCCAGTGTTTTTGTTGTTGTTGTATTATTCTGCTTTTGTTGCATGTTCAAACTGAGTTATTGTGAACAATTTCAGATAACAACTGTCAGTTTCCATCACTCTGAGAAAACGTGCATAAAGCTTTTTTTCTGTGTGCATTTTGTTATGCACATGGTGCAGTATTGGTACTATATGTACCATATTATGGTATTAGAAGTCACAGCATCTCTAAAAGAAGAATTGCACATAAACCAAAACTTGCATTTATTGTATAGTACCGTAAATCATTAAGATAACATATTTTGACAATAGACGCATGTGCTACTAATACATATAGAATAAGATGTGAATTACCGTAGTTGTTTTAAAGTGAATTTCTGGATTGCAGTCTGTCTTAGTACCGGTAAATTATTTTGACCTGCTGCTCTCTTGTCTGGTATTATTTGTTGAGATTGGATGACGGCTGCAAACAACTTATTACTTTATGGCGAAGAGTAATTTATTGGTGTAATTTAACTTTTGTCGATATCTGCTATTAAATTAATATTTTTTATAACATTGTCTTGGGCATTGTTATGAATTTTCAATTAGAGTCTTATTTTTAATGTGTGTGAATATGAAAACATCATAATAAAATTCTCAATATTTTGAGATACTATTATGTGGAAGTACTGAGTGGAATAGGAGTGTAATACCTCAAGTATTGTTAACATTTCATCGGTGATTGGTCATCAACTGCATTTCAAATGTGCTGCTGCCAGTTCTTTAGTCACATAGATGAGACTATGTATCAAAAATGCTGCTATTCTGGCATTTTAATAACAAATATTTGTAAAAAAATATTTATCGAGCCCAAAGTGATGCTGGGTTACCACTGATTATCAAGTTGGAATTAATTAAAATTAATTCTAGGTTGGTGTGGTGGACACCATATCTGCTGCTTACAAAATTGGTTTTCTAATTGTATTAGAAACACAAGAAAGTGTGTGTGTACTAACCAGGAAGTTTTTAGGATACTTACTGGATTAAATCGTATTGATTTTAGCTTAAGGGAAGAGTAGGAAATCAAACGGGCGGTGCACCGCGGTCATTACCGCGGTGGTGGTGGGTACTCGCCGGTCGACCGCATTTTATGCAAATTTATGCATAGATTCCATGACCCCGGTTTACCGCGGTCGTGTGT